CTTCGGATCGTTATCTTTCGTGAAATAATTCTAGTCCTTTCAGACTTTTATTTTTTTCGGACGAATGGTTTAACGGCAAAGTGATATTTCAGCTCCTTCGCTAATTTGTAAGTCCAGTACCTAACAAGCACCAGCTACTGTCCCCTAACTGGCAAGTGTGTACGTTAACTATCATGCTGCGAGATGCAAGGCGCATGCGTGGGGAGTGTCACTGGCAAGGGTGAAGCTCTACCGCTACGGGCTACGGGCATGCCAGTAGCTAGCAGAGAATTGTCAGATTTGTTGTGTTGGTGATAAAAATTAATCGTTTTATTTTTAAACTTGTTAATTTAAAAAATGTTTCTTTGGGATGATGAAAAAACCATTAAATTTATTGCTATATATAGAGAATTAAATGTCTTTTAAATTCTAAATCATCTCTAGATAAAAATAAAATAGCCCGAGACAATGCTTACACAAAAATTCAACAGGAAATGAGTGAAGTTATTAGTAGAAAGGAGACAAAGGCCAATTTAAAAAATTGCTCCAAGATTCTCTCGCCTACCAATCCAATTTCTCTCCCAAATTTTTCTCTTTTTGAGTTCGGCTTGATTCTTATTAAAGTTCTAACAATATCTGTGGTCATTAACAATATTTGCTTGTTAAATTCATTCGGAATATCTTCCATGCATCCTATTTTCTTTGTTGGAAACTCAAAAACTTTTAATTACAAACAAGTACTTACTTTAGTTTCAGATGAAAACCACTCGATTGTTTACTAGCACTAGCATGTGTAAAAATCTACCCTGCTTTTTCGCCTTGCCAGAATAGGCAAGCGAGCTACTGGCATGCCAATTACTAGCTAATGTGTTTTGCGCTTGCCAGTTACTGGCCTATACCAGCAACTGGCATGCCAGCTACTTCCCCAATTTACTGGCATGTATGTACCTGGCTTTACAGACTTTTCTTTATTTTCAACAAATGATAACTTAACAGCCAAGTTTCGAATCCCTTCATTTGTTATTTGCGAGATTATTTAAAAGTCGCGAGACTTTATATTTATCTTATATTCTTATAAGTCTTGAAGTTCGATGATTTGGAATAGGTGAGAAATAAAAACGCAAAGTTTCAAAAAACGCAAACGCAAAAATAGGTCTTGTTTGTTAAGATTAAGAACTACCCTGTTCTCCGACTAAAATCAAGGAAAATATTCGTATAAATGTATAATAATAATAAGCTATGGGAGTTTTTATCAGTTCTTCTACCAGGCGCGGCCCCCTGCGAATGAGGGATGCTTTCTGGGTATCCGTAGCGCAGATACCCAGAGGGTAACAGGAATACCTGTCGTGGAACAAAAACTGACACCTGGAAGTAGGTATAAAATGCACACCCATGATAATGGAGAATAATAATTTATGTTTAGAGTCGCTGCCTTGGGATCGCCAGGGCACGTCTGGAGCCGGCGCTGGACGTGACAGCATGCGGGATGTCGGTGGCAGTGTGTTGAGGAGGCGGGCCCCTGTCATACAATCAGCTAAAGCCCAACAACAACAGCAAGAACAACCACAAGCGAGCCAAACAACAACAAGAGCTCCACTCGCTTCTATTACCAGGTGACAAACCTCGGTCAAGAAACGATCGGGTATCGACAAAATCTCTATGTCGAATTTTGCAGGGAGTACCCAGAAATTCAAGTAACTGAACAACGAGTTGCTGATCAATACCGGGTAATTATAAGAAATAATCTTATCCCAGAGGCTAGACGCAATACCATCAGAAGCGAAGTCGAACGGGAGATTAATTACCAAGAGGTAAATGTAGATCAAGTCCCTAATGAGAGGCATGAGCAGATTCCTGGGCATTGATTCTAATTGAGATTTCGACTGAAAACATGTTGAAATCAATATGGCGACGTCGAAATGCGACTTTGCGAGCCTAGTGGATTTTAGCTGAACTAACTAAAGGACGTCACTAAATTTCGATTTATCGAAATTAATTTCAACTTCAAGAAAGTGGTTGAAATTTAATTTCGAGTCGAAATTAATCTGACATGACTAGCGGGACTGGGAGAAGCGAGGTTAGGTTGGTTCAGTTTAGGCGGTGTTGTTTGATTGTTGCAACGAAAACTGAGGCAAAAAGTATTAATATGGCTGGGTTTTATCAGAAATTGTATGTGATTCGGCACATAATTGGTCGAAATTTTAACACCTATAAAAATAGAACTGCGGTACCTGGGGGCCCCAAGCCAGATGCTACTGATTATTTTTTTAAATATACTGTGGTGTAAAAATTAAAGAAATAAAATGTCCCAATATTAAAACTAAATTGAAAACCACAATTTTTGAATATATTCAACAGGCTGTAATGGAAGATAGAAATAATAAATAATTTGGTTGTAATAATTTATTTTAATTCTACACTCTTATTTGGAGATATAAAATAATCTTTAAACTCATCAAGAATTTTTAGAGCGGTAATGTATTGTTTTTAGTAATACCAATACTAAGCTGCAGTAAATTTAAAAATATAATATAACCACTAAGTCAAAAGCGATCATAATTTCTTTTTGGTCCACAGACAATTTAGTGCCACCATCACCAACAGCCTCCATCCATTTTCTTTCAATTCAAAATATAATCATTGAGAATGGCCACTAAAAATTTAACAACTCAAACAAGAAACAAAAATCGTAAAATGTAAACAAAACAAACATTTAACAAGCGTGCAGCCAATAAACAAGACGGCCAACCCAAATTCTGAGCAGTGTCAAAATGATAAAGTAAATGTCCCCACTTTTAACTAAAATCGAAATGGATGAGAATCGCTAGCGATTGCGACTGTCATGGCGTAGTCGCTTTTAAATTTCGACATCGAAATGAAATAGAATCAGGGCCCTGAGCTTACCATACAAGAAACTCAACCTGATAATACACTACAGGACAACAACGAGTTACGCGATACTCTGGTAAGCGAAATAGCACGAGCTGTACAAGAGTTTAATGGAACAAATCCACTTAGCAGACCACCGCTACCAAAAATAAACTCTTCTAAAAAACTAGGTGCTCTGTTACAAATAATAAATACTGAAGTCCTACCCAATTACGTCGTAGAAGCTCATACGCTGGAATATTTGCATATGCTTATTTACTGTGCAGCAACGGCAACAGCTAATATAATGGGAATTAAGATCAGAACACGACGGGGTACCAATGCCGGAAAGACTGATAACAGAGTTGCACCCTGGGAGAAACGGCTTCTAAACAAGATTGAATTACTGCGGAGGGACATTGGTCAAATGACAGAATATATACGAGGAACAACAAGTAGAAAAGTCATTAAAAGAGCTGACCAAATAATGCTAAGCACTGCAAGACACTCGCAATATGATCCAGTATACATCACAGCCCATCAGTGCCTCATTAAAACAAAAACTCTCCGTTTATTCAGGACTAAGGAGGTACAAGGTTAGTAACAGCCGGAAATGTGACAATGCGCTTTTTGAGCATGCCGAGAAGGCGTTCTATCGGAAACTTAATTCCACTGTCGAAAGTGCCAATAAATCATACCCAAGCCAAGAAGACATTCAGGAGTTTTGGGGAAATCAACTTTCCACACCAGCTGCTCTTAACACCAATGCTGGATGGATAGAAGATACGACGCACAGCTGTCAACACTACCGCACAACTGTTTATGAACACTTCACCACAGAAGAAGTCTCTAATATCATCAAAGAGCTTCATAACTGGAAATCTCCTGGACCAGACGGAGTTCAAAACTTCTGGCTTAAGAAGTTCTGGAGTGCTCATGAGCGCCTGTCAACATTAATTAATCGTGTTATTTCTAATCCGCAGGAAATACCATCATTAATAACTCAAGGAACAACTTATTTAATACCAAAGGATCAAAATAATACCCAAGATCCAGCCAAGTACCGCCCAATTACGTGTCTTCCAACTCTGTATATGACTCAGTCATTTCTAACCAGGCATACACCAAAAAAAGGAACCTCTTCACTGCCTTTATTGACTATAAGAAAGCCTTTGACTCAGTGCCGCATGAATGGCTGGTAGATATATTAAGAATATATAAAGTCGATGATAATATAGTGACCTTCTTAAGACATATAATGACAGATTGGAAGACTATAATACCTGGTGAAAATAATACTCCAAATACCTGCTGAAAATAATATCGAAACGGAAAATATCGCAATTAACCGCGGCCTATTCCAGGGAGACTCGCTGAGTCCCTTGTGGTTCTGTCTAGCGATGAACCCTCTATCCCAGCTATTGAACTAGACTGACTCAGGTTTTAGCATTAAAAACAACAACACTGTAGTGGCGAAGCTTAATCATCTGTTGTATATGGATGATTTGAAACTAATGGCTTCCCCTCGAAATCACTTAGATCAAATGCTAAAAACTGTAGAAACTTTTTCAAATGATATCAGTATGCACTTTGGGTTAGACAAATGTCGTGTACTAAATATAGTCAAGGGAAAGGTTCAGCCCGGGGGATTCGATATGCAAAATGGCCAAAACATCGAGGCTATGGGCGAAAATGACATGTATAAATATCTAGGAGCAAAGCAAGCGCGGAAAATTGACCATAAACAAATGAAAATCGAATTAACATCAGAGTTCATACGAAGGGTAAAACAGCTACTCTGCTCACATCTTAATAGTAAAAATTTATTTAAGGCATTGAACACCTATGCATTTTCCGCGCTTAGCTACTCATTTGGTATTATTAAGTGGACTAAAACGGATATAGAAACTTTTCAGAGAAAAGTACGAACACACCTCACAAAGGCACAAAAACATCATCCTCGAAGTGCAGTAGAAAGAACGACATTACCGCGGTATTTAGGAGGACGAGGACTTATTGATATAAGCGAGCAGTTAGAAAAACAGATTACTAATTTAAGAACTTATTTTCAGGTGCAGGCGGAGACATCTACTCTTCATCGCGCGATTTGTGCAGTAGATGATACAACACCGATCAAACTGAGGGAACAAGAAATGCGCATAGACCATCTTACTAAGAACGAAAAAATGCGCATCTGGATGGGTAAACCTCTACACGGGCGACATCAGAATGAGCTCAGTCAAGACTATGTCGACAATATAGCGTCGAACTATTGGCTGACATCAGAAAATATGTTCCCTGAAACAGAAGGTTCATTACTCCCCATTCAGGATCAGGTTATACCAAACAAAAATTACCTGAAATATATCGTCAAAGACCCTCAGGTTCAAAACGACAAATGCCGATATGGATGTCAAGCCCAAGAAACTATCCAACATCTTACCGGATGCTGCCAGGCATTTGCTGACCTATCGTCAAAGACCCTCAGGTTCAAAACGACAAATGCCGATATGGATGTCAAGCCCAAGAAACTATCCAATATCTTACCGGAGGCTGCCTGGCATTTGCTGCAACTGAATATAAGGAACGGCATGACTCAGTGGGAAAGATCCTCCATCAAGAGATAGCTTCTAAACTGGGACTTCTACAAACAAACCATCTCCCATATTATCAATACGTTCCTGAGAGTATTCTTGAGAATGACAACTATATGCTATACTGGGATCGCACTGTGCTCACAGACCAAACTGTAGCACATAATAGACCACATCTCGTGCTAGTTAATAAACTAACAAGACAAACAACTCTAATAGATGTGGCGATACCTAACAGCAATAATCTGCGTGTTAAGTACAACGAAAAGATCGCCAAGTACAGAGATCTGGAAATACAAATAAGGAGACAATGGAGAATGGAAAGTACCCAGACTATTATTCTTTCTACCACTGGAGTCATTCCGAAGAACCTCCTAGAAAACATAAAAAGCTGGGTCTAAATGAACATCTATATAAGATCATGCAGAAAGGTGTGATACTTTCGACGTCTAGATGCGTGCGAAAATTTATGGGAGATACACTGACTTACCAAGTCACCTAGGACTCGATAACATGGAAAGAGTTCCACCAGAGCTCAATCCTTTTGATACCGTAGGTATCTGGGATGAGTAAATTTTCCCCTTAGAGGGAGTGTGAGCCGTATGGCTAAATCTGGATAATAATAATAATAAGGAACAAGAAATGCGCATAAACCATCTGACTAAACAAGAAAAAATGCACACCTGGTTGAGTAAACCTCTGCATGGGCGACATCTCAATGAGATCAGCTAAGAATATGTCGACAATACATCTTCGAACTATTGGTTGACATCTGGAAAGATGTTTCCCGAGACTGAGGGTTTCCTACTTGCCATTCAGGATCAGGTAATTCCAACTAAAAATGACCTAAAATATATTGTTAAAGATCCTCAAGTCCAAAATGATGAATGCCGATATGGATGCCAAGCCCAAGAAACCATCCAACATCTTACCGATGGCTGCCAGGCATTTGTCAGTACCGACTATAAAGAACGCCATGACTCAGTAGGAAAGATTATCCACCAAGAACTAGCTGACAAACTGGAACTTCTCCAAACCGATCATCTTCCTTATTATCAATATGTCCCTGACAGAATGCTTGAAAATGACAACTACAAGCTATACTGGGACCGCACTGTGGTCACAGACCAGCCAGTGGCCCATAATAGACCGGATCTCATACTAGTGAATAAAATTACCAGGCAAACAACACTTATTGATGTGGAGATACCTAACACTAACAATTTGCGTGTTAAATACAACGAAAAAATCGCCAAGTATAGAGGTCTGGAAATACAAATCAAGAGACAATGGAGAATGAAAAGTACCCAGACAGTACCTATTGTTCTATCTACTACTGGTGTTATTCCCAAAAACCTCCTAGCAAACATAAAACAGCTGGGTCTAAATGAACATCTTTATAAGGCCATGCAGAAAGCTGTACTCCTCGCGACGTCCAGATGTGTACGAAAATTTCTGGGAGATACTCCAACATACCAAGTCACCTAGGGCTCGATAACACGAAAAGAGTCCCACCAGAGGTCAATTCTTTTGATACCGTAGGTATCTGGGATGAGTGGATTTTCCCCTTAGACGGAGTGTGAGTCGTATGGCTAAATCTGGGATAATAATAATACATTGCCCATACATTGGAATATGTGCATATGCTGATTTACTGTGCGGCAACAGCAATTGCTAATGTTATGGGCATTAAGATCAGAACACGACGGAGTAACAACATCGGAAGGACTGGTAACAGAATAGCACCCTGGGAACAACGACTGCTGAGGAAGATTGAATTACTGCGTAGGGACATTGGACAAATTACGTAATACATTGGAGGAGTAAGAACTCGAACAGTAGTTAAAAGAACTGAAGAAATAATTCTGAATACTGGAAGACACTCACAACAAGATTTTTGTGTCGAGCTGTGTTGTTTTCTGATCCAGAAAGTAACAGCTCGACACTGCCTGGTCACACTAAAACAAAAACTGTCCGTTTATTCAGTTCGCCTAAGGAGATACAAAGTGAATAACAACCGGAAATGTGACAATATACTTTTTGAGCATCCAGAGAAGTCTTTCTATAGGAAACTGAATTCCACTGTAGAAAATGTAAATAAATCCTACCCAAGCCAAGAAGAAATTCATGAGTTTTGGGGAAACCAACTCTCGACACCAGCTACTCATAACAACATTGCTGGATGGATTGAAGAAACGACGAACAACTGTCAACACTCCAGTAATGTTCCCTATGAACCTTTCACCACTGAACGAACATTATCAACGAGCTTCATAACTGGAAATCTTCTGGGCCAGATGGAGTTCAAAACTTCTGGCTAAAGAAGTTTTGGAGTATACACGAGCATTTAACAGTATTAATTAATCATGTTATTTTTAATCCGCAGGAAATACCACCATTTCTTACTGAAGGAACCACTTATCTAATACCATAGATCAAAATAACACCTAAGATCCAGCCAAGTACCGTCCAATTACTTGTCTTCCAACTTTGTACAAATTGGTCACATCCTGTGTAACCCAGCGTATCTACCAACACTGCTCTCTAAACAATATCATAGAGCCTCAACAGAAAGGATGCGCTAAGGGTTCCATGGGCTGCAAAGAACAACTTATAATCGACTCAGTCATTTCCAACCAGGCGTACACAAAAAAAAAGGAACCTTTTTACCGCCTTCATCGACTACAAGGCCTTTGATTCAGTACCGCATGAATGGCTGATAGATATATTGAAAATATATAAAGTCGATGTTAACATAGTGACCATTTAAAAGCATATAATGACGGAGTTGAAGACTAAAATTCACCTTCAAATACCTGGTGAAAAAAACATCGAAACTGAAGATATCCCAATTAACCGGGGCCTTTTTGGGTTCTGTTTAGCGATGAACCCACTATCTCAGCTACTGAACTCAACTGACTCAGGTTTTAGTATCAAAAATAACAATACTGTTGTGGCGAAGCTTAATCATTTGTTGTATATGGATGATTTGAAATTAATGGCTTCCACTCGAAACCACCTAGACCAGATGCTAAAAACTGTTGAAAATTTCTCAAATGATATTAGTATGCACTTCGGTCTTGACAAGTGCTATGTCTTAAATATAATCAAAGGAAAGGTTCAGCCCGGCGGATTCGATATGCAAAACGGCTAGAACATCGAGACCATGGATGAAAATGATATGTATAAATAACTCGGAATAAAGCAAGCGTGGAAGATTGACCATAAGCAAATGAAAACTGAGATAACAACTGAGTTTATACGAAGGGTAAAACAGCTGCTTCGTTCACACCTTAACAGTAAAAATTTGTTTAAGGCACTAAACACCTACGCATGTTCCGCGCTTGGCTACTCATTTGGTATTGTTAAGTGGACAAAAACGGATATAGAAAATCTTCAGCGAAAAGATCGAACACACCTCACAAAGACACAAAAACACCATCCTCGAAGTGCAGTAGAAAGAACGACATTACCGCGGTTTTAGGAGGTCAAGGACTTATGGATATAAGCGAGCAATTAGAAAAACAGATTACTAATTTAAGAACTTATTTTCAGGTGCAGGCGGAGACATCTACTCTTCATCGCGCGATTTGTGCAGTAGATGACACAACACCGATCAAACTGAGGGAACCAGAAATGCGCATAAATCACTTTCTAAGAACGAAAAAATGCGCACCTGGATGGGCAAACCTCTGCACGGGCGACATCCCAATGAGGTCAGTCAAGACCATGTCGACAATATAGCGTCGAACTATTTGCTGACATCGGGAAAGATGTTCCCCGAAACAGAAGGTTCACTACTGGCCATTCAGGATCAGGTTATACCAACCAAAAATTACGTGAAATATATCGTCAAAGACCCTCAGGTCCAAAATGACAAATGCCGATATGGATGCCAAGCTCAGGAAACCATTCAACATCTAACCGGGGGCTGTCAGGCATTTGCTGCAACTGAATATAAAGAACGGCACTACTCACTGCCAAACTGGGACTTCTTCAAACAAACCATCTTCCATATTATCAATATATTCCTGAGAGTATACTTGAGAACGACAACTACAACCTATACTGGGACCGCACAGTGCTCACAGACCAAACAGTGGCACATAATAGACCAGATCTCATACTAGTTAATAAACTAAAGAGACAAACGAAATTAATTGATGTGGCGATACCCAACAACAATAATCTTCATGTTAAACACAACGAAAAAATCGCCAAGTACAGGGATCTGGAAATTCAAATACGAAGACAGTGGAAAATGGAAAGTACCCAGACAATACCTACTATTATCTCTACTACTGGAATCATTCCAAAGAACCTCCTAGAAAACATAATAAACCTAGGTCTGAATGAACATCTCTACAAGACCATGCAGAAAGCTGTACTACTCTCAACGTCCAGATGTGTACGAAAATTTTTGGGAGATACTCCAGCATATCAAGTCACCTAAGGCTCGACAACACGGATCAACAACTCTTCGTCAACTCGACAACTCTTCAAAAGACCGTCTGGGATCGGGTGTCAGCCCTTTATCCCGCATAAGACCCAGGCGAGACTGGCTGGTGAAGCTACCGTCCTGCTCAATCCTTATGCCGGCGAGACAGCCTGGTCGTCCCCCTTTCCACATTGGAACTAACGAGTAGTACCAGTTGGCAATTAACAGTAACACCATTCATTCGTACTGCAATCAATTTAGTTCTGCACTCATACCTTCATTCACTAATTTTTGGGATATCTGGACATCCGACGGGATTGGATGTAAAAAGTATTTTCCCGTCCCATGTCCCACGGCCCTTACCATGAAATAAAATAAATAAATAAATAAATAAAATACATAAAAAAATAAGTTAAAAGTAATGTAGGTAAAATAAAAATAAAAAAATAGCTAAAATTGCTATAGATAAAATATATAATAAAAACGAAAGTAACTTGAATAAATAAAATACAATAAAATAATTAAATAAATAACACACATTTTAAAAAACGATAAATAAATATAGCGGTCAGTCCACCTGCAGCCGCCTCTCTTTCTCTTCCTTGTGCTTTATGGTTTTTGTGATAAAAGCAATGATCAGTTCGAAATCGTGCTTGCTGTCGATGGCTTTATCGATCAGCTCGTGAGACTCGCCTAGTGGAGATCCCAGGCTCAACTGCAGTTCGTTTCGCCCCGTGTGGTATGCAGGGTAGTCGAACACAACATGCCGCGCATCATCCACCACTCCACACTCAGGACACAGATCGTCTCCGGACCTCCCGATTCTATGGGTGTATTTCCGAAACGATCCGTGTTCCGTCAGAAACTGCATGAAGTAGTAGTTGACGCGCCGATGTTGACACCCATACCACCTCACTACATCCGGGACCAGGGACCTCGTCCAGGCTGCCTTTTCGACTTCGG